TTAGTACTTTATACTTAAATTAAAAAAGAAAAACTATTTTTGCTGTACATATGTCCCACCCGTGACGATGGAATACCCCAAATGCAAAACACAAACTACATACATATGTAAGTATGTATGTATGTATTTACGGATGTCTAAAGTTAATTGAATATTATTGATTCTTTCGATTCTCAGTTAAGGCAGTTTCTATATGTTCTTAACTTTAGCAACACATTTAAGCACACATAACTACGTATATATATGTATATGTATGTGTGTATGCATATGCGAGTGTGATTGAAGATATCACAAATGTCGCAGAGTATCAATAATAATACATATTTAGTAGGAAACTCATTAGAAAATAAATATGCTACTAATTGTAGTTATTTATGGCTTGCCTCTAACTGAAGTGCTTCGAAAAATTTGCAATGTGGGTTTAACTAAAGTATTTTTGAAAGGCAATTGCAAAACAAATTTTTGCCGAACTTGCGATCCCCAGGGTTTTAAATTTTTCATCATAAAACATACTGAGTTTGGGCATTTACAGTCAGTTCTTAAAGTACGGTGACCATTTGTCCTGTATTATACGGGACAGTCCTCCTTTTTGACCCATTTTCCTGGTAATTTATTTATTTTATACCGGAGGCCAAATGTTCTGTATTTCTTTCAATGTCCTGTATTTGTCTCTTATTCGCTGTTCCGACGCCTTAACAGCTAATTGGCTTGCCCATAAACGAGTTTTAAGTGATGTTGGTATATAATCGTAATTTTCTTTATAAACAGTTTTTATTTTCTAATTTGAATGCCTGTGATTCGAATCGGGGAATACATACAGTGGCCAAAATAGAAATTACCACTCGACGTTTTAGTAGTTATGGCTATTTTTCCTTAGTTTTTTTTAATCATTCATGAAAGTAAAGCTCTTTTCCTAATAAAAACCATATAATACCAAATTTCCAACTTTGTGCAAAAAACTATGGAAAATAATTCTGCAATGTTTCACCAAAATTCCAAACTTTTTATTTAGAATCTTTAGAAAAAAATTTGGTTTGCAGTTTTGTAACTCCATAAAATTGAGTATAACAAAGTGCCAGTGGAAAGTGCTGCTCATTTGCTTCTCTTTAAAAAAAAGGTCGAACATACATACTTTCCCAGTGGGAATTAGGAGCACGTAATAATACCTTATTAGCAACTTACTCTTCACCTGGCAGTCATTACCATTTCCCTGCCGAACGTCCCTTACTTTTANAAAAAAAAAAAAAATCCAAAAATTTGTAGTAAGCCTTATTGACTTAAATCTGCCTGCACTTTACTATACTAAAATTTAACAAATTTTTTTAACTGAGTTTACGAGGTAAAAATCTGNGGGAATACATACAGTGGCCAAAATAGAAATTACCACTCGACGTTTTAGTAGTTATGGCTATTTTTCCTTAGTTTTTTTTAATCATTCATGAAAGTAAAGCTCTTTTCCTAATAAAAACCATATAATACCAAATTTCCAACTTTGTGCAAAAAACTATGGAAAATAATTCTGCAATGTTTCACCAAAATTCCAAACTTTTTATTTAGAATCTTTAGAAAAAAATTTGGTTTGCAGTTTTGTAACTCCATAAAATTGAGTATAACAAAGTGCCAGTGGAAAGTGCTGCTCATTTGCTTCTCTTTAAAAAAAAGGTCGAACATACATACTTTCCCAGTGGGAATTAGGAGCACGTAATAATACCTTATTAGCAACTTACTCTTCACCTGGCAGTCATTACCATTTCCCTGCCGAACGTCCCTTACTTTTACAAAGGCATGGCCGCCTTATGTAAGTAGGAATTTAGAATGTACATTTGGTATCAGACATACTTCTGAGCCGCTTTACAAAGTAAGTTACGTGTAATGCAGAG